TGGCACGCCCCCAAGGTCTTAGCTAGAGTCCAAGTTGAAATATGGCAGCGATATAGGGAGGGCAGAATAAAAATATCATAATTTATTTGTCCTTTAAACATTGGTCAATCAATTCCAAACAATGTATGTTTTTTTTATTTTTTGATTATTTTTGAATAAAGACAGACAATCAAATTAAATACTGTTGTTTTAGTACTTTTAAAAATGTCCCCCTGCACATGCATGTACAGCGTGCCAGTATGCCAGTTCGATGTGCTGTGTTACACAGAGAGCGGCGAGGGCGGCGGGCTGGCGAGCGCGACGTCCGCGTGGCTGTGGGCGAGCGCGGGCGGCGCGTGCGCGGTGCTGGCGCTGGCAGCCGCGCTGGCGCTCTCACTGTGCTGTCGTAGGCACAGCCCGCCACTGTCTCCGGACACCAGGTCAGTCACCACGCACACAAACATTACACATTACACCATGAGAGTTACAAGTCGATGAATTAGACTATCTGGACTGCGTCAAAAGGAATGTACTAAAAATTATTACTATTTGAAGTCATTTTTATTTGTACTACATTTTTCGACTCAAGGAGAGTTAGGAGTAGGGGGCAGGAAGTTCAACGCCCTACGCCCCTCTGGAGACGTCCATGCCTCAGATTTCTAACAAATATATGATCAGTTTTAAGTTGAATATGAATTTGAAGACAGTTATGGACACTAAGTATGTTATTCCAGCACGTACCAGAAGGCATCAGCGTCAGCGGCCATCAAGCCACCAGACCTGTGGATCCACCACGACCAGATGGAGCTAAAACACATGGATAAAAGTCTGCACAGCTCCGCCAGTAAGAGTACGACTAAATTATATTTTTGATACTTATAGGGAACATTGTTATTTCCGATCTTTTGACAAAATCATTTAATTCCTCTATCAATTTTAGTCTAATGGGCAATTTCATTCCACCCTTTTAATTTAGGGTGTTTTATAGAGAGTCCCTAATAAGAATTTCTTTTGAACGTTACGGTTTCACTAGGTTCATAAGATTTGTTTATTTTTTAGGACATGAATGGTCGGAAAAAGTCCATAAGTGTGGCATTAAAAGAGTTATCACAAATAATTATAAAAAAACATATTTTAAAAATATGTTTACATGGAAAATTAAGAAGTTATTAAGAATTAGTCAAAAAAATTGTTTTTTAAAGATAGTTACGAACATGAACGAATGACAATCATACTTTTTAGTATTAAGAATGCGAAAGTTGAATTAACTGTGACTTTTCTCTTAAACAGCTTAATGTATCTCGATGTTACATATAGTATATAATTTGAGAGAACACATACTTTCCGAGTTATTCTAAATCCGAACAATGTCGCGGGCGACCACTAGTATCTCGTGTGTTTCCAGTATCAGCTGGCAGTGTGGACGGGCCAAACGCACTGGTATCATCAACACTGACGCTGGGGCGCGCACCCCCCGCGGAGTACGAGCCCGCGCGCCACGCCCCGCACGCGCCCCACGCCCCGCCCCCCGCCTCCCTCGACCGCAGACACTACGTGCCCACGTATGTAGGTACGTATCATGTCTAAATACTATTTGTACAGGTAAGTAATTGCAAATAATTGGTCGCAGACTGGCGGAGAATTCCATCGGTGAAAGGTAAGGTAGAAGTGAAAATCTCTCGTGTAAATACTTTATGTGTTAACTAGATGTTACTTACTGATAACGTAGCTTGTAAATGGTAATTTTGAAATCGGTCCAGTAGTTTTTGAGTTATTTCAATACATATAAAAATACAAATATTTTTATAATATTAGTATAAATAACAATAATTAAATCCATAAATCCACCATAAATTAACATAAAACTACCCATCAAAAATTCGACGATGAAAAACGTAAGTATCGTTTTTAGTACATTTCGTTACATGAGAGAGACGTAAAATATATTGTAACTAGAGAGTGAAAGAGATAGACTCTCGAAAACAAAGCATCGTTCGGGGACTTTCCTTCAACCGCAACATGTAAGTATAAAATGTTATATTAAATTGATGTTTTTTTCTACCCAACGCTTGTTGCTGCGTCAATAGATGTCTTTTAATTTGCTAGTCGTTTGAGTTGAGCCCACATTTAGTTTGTTATGCGCACGACTAGATGCGCGGCGGTCGCCATCTTGCGGCGGGAGCGACGACACCGCCATCTTGCGCGCGTCGCCCGCCTCCGCCACCAGCCGGCGCTGCGAGCGCTGCGAATACAGAGGTACCGGTGTTTTAACAACTACCCGCATTCACTGCAAATGGTGTGAAAGGGCCAGTTTAACCAGTGTAAGGATGGCCATAGCTGTCCCTGCACTGACCTGACCACTTTTTACCACATTGTTATGTTTTTTTATGTTAAATGTTTATTTATTTTGTTGTACCTTTGTTGTATGGCTGTATTTTTTTATTATTATTCTATTCTAATTACAAACGAGAAATGCCGGAAAGGAATATTTCTTTGTTCCTTTCAGATAATATTTAGAAAAGGATTTCTCATTAAATTTGAAGTAATTATGACCTTCTGTTAGCAAATAAGACATATTTGTATAATGTTTGATTTGTCTACAGCGATGACGGGTGTGGGCGTGGGCGTGGGCTGCGCGTCCACGTGCGAGAGGCGGCGTCACGGCTTACCAGACCAGGTGACATATATAACCAAAAACTATTTGCTAAAGAAATCTCTTAGTATAGCTTTCTTGTAATTAACGACACTAAAGGACACCAATACTAATGTTAGTGTAAGATGAGGAAACC